ACTAGCTTAACTAGACAAAGGCCGAAGCACCATAGTCACGCAATACAGCACAACGTACCAAATTGTAACTAGTCAGATAGAACGGCCTTTGGCCAAAGTCCTACATAGCCAACGGCTGATACAGGACTATAATGGAATAATAATAAGGACCTGGACAGGAATGATGATAGGTGAGATGATACAGCCACTAGTCAAAAGTTTCGCAAAGCACGCGCTAGCTACCCCACCAACCACCAACCCAACCACCACTTTGAACCCCCACCACCACCCACCCACTGCACCAATTCCATTGCTGAGTACTAAAAACGATGCCTAGGGGTCCTAATATGACTTTAGCCGAGCGAAATATCGCTATTGGGATGTTGCAGTGCGGTGCAACGCTCTCAGAAGTCGCAGCCAAGTTTAGGCGCGCGCCGTCCACCATCCACCGACTTCAAGAAAAGTACTCCACCACCGCAACCACGCGTGATCTGCCTCGATCCGGACGGCCAAGTGTACTATCGACTCATCAGAAGAAGATTATCTGGCGTAAAGCACGCTCGTCGCCCAAAATTGAGTATAAAGACCTTATAAGAACGGCGACACTTATACTACCCAACGGCACTACTTCACGGCCACCTAGTAGATCTACGCTCTACCGTATGCTCCGCCGTCGTAATATAGGCAAATACCGCTGTAAAAAGCGTCCAAAACTAACGCCGCAACACGCTCGCAAGCGCCTACAGTTTGCCTATCGTTACCGTCACTTTCCTTGGCGTCGCAGGATAGTCAAATTCTCAGACGAGTGTTCTATTCAGAAGAGCTCCTACTCAGAACAGCAGTGGTGTTTTCGTTATCCAGCAGAAAAATGGAAAGTACGCATGATAACGCAGGTATCTACTGGTAAAATAAAACAGCAGATGGTGTGGGGAGCTATATGGATCGACGAACGTGGGCGCGGACGCCGGAGTCCACTCGTGATCATGGAAAGGGATCTAAATGCTCCACATGGTGGCTACTCCAGCCAAAGTTACATTGAATCCCTTCGTCATAGTCTACTCCCTCACTACCGTCCGAATCAAACCTTCATACAAGACAACGCGCGTATCCATACAGCCCAAGTCGTCCGGACTTTCCTTGCGGATCACCAGATTAGAACACTTAACTGGCCAGCATACTCACCAGATCTTAACCCAATAGAACACCTCTGGTGGATCCTTAAGAAACGCATGCACCAATTCTACCCACAATATAGTAATTACAGCGCAACTCAGGAACAATGGGATGGTTTTTGTAGAGCTTTAAAAGACTGCTGGCGGAGGATACCGCGTAGGTATATCGAGTCGCTGATTGGCTCAATGCCGCGCCGCCTAGCAGCCTGTAGAGTCTCACGAGGCTGGCAGACAAAGTACTAGTACTCAGCAATATTATCTATTTTCAAATCTCAATTATTATGCAGTTTTGGTGGAGTTATCGCGTATCAAAGCATTGGAGTTGAGTTTTGGTGGTGGCCGGCTGTCGGCTAAATTGCGAAACTTTTGACCTAGTACTGTAGCGTAGAGAAATCCTGCTTGTTTCAGCGTATGCTAATAGGCACATTTTTCGAACCCAGAACCTACCGATGCAGGAGAGATTTGTAAATACAGGTACAAAAGTTCCCCATTGAAGGTCTTGGCCCCTTCTTCGTATCATCATCTGAGTTACTGATTTGTCAAAGACCGGGCCAAGTACGAAGTTTCCTATCAAGTGATCAAATCTCAGCAGAGAGTTGGCGCTAACTGAAAGGGCCTGCAAGAGAATATAGGACAGGAAGTAGTTGCTTGCTTTTGGCAGATTCTTAGCCAGTGTTTCAGCCAGCGAAGCTTCATTCGTAATCTCGTTCGCGATAGCAGTAAGTCCTGCAGACAACGAGACTAAGAGAGTAACTTGGATAAAGAGGAAATAAAAGTAATAATCTTGAATCTTGAGGTCAATGTGGCTCTCAGAAGAGATTCCCTGCTTTCGAACAAAGTATTCTAATGCGACGACAAATCCTTTCGTCAAGATGGCCACTAATGTGGGAGGCAAAACACCCTGGAGTAGACCCAGAAGGGATTCTGGAAGTTCGTTGACCCAGCTCAGCCAAGGTACCGCCCGAGTGATGTAAATGATCTGGGAGAGAAGCCCTGCTAGCGCTACTGGTATAACGCAAGCAGTCGCCGTCACCATGATAAGGGTGTTCGAGAGGACAGTGCGTATAGTTCTGTCTCTCCAGGTAATGTTAACATTGCTCCATACAACATCTTCCACGGATAAAGGCATTGTGCGGGGTGTCATATAACCTGAGCTGGTATGGATCACTGTTTGACACACCATGTTGGCGGCTAGCGGATTGGTGAAGGTAACAAAGGCAGATCTCAATAGCGGAAATTTCTCCAACGCTGCCCGATGAAATGCCATCTCTTCACTAGTTTTAAGAAGTTCCTCCCGATACACTATACTGTTATCCACTTTTTCACGTAATAGCCAATTAAATAGGTTTGAAAGGTTGTGTGATATGTGGCTTAAGTGTCCAGGTCTTTTGGTAAGGTTCGATTTTTTGCTTCGTTTCTGAACGCCCGCCCTGTAGGTCTTTCTTATCCGGGAAATCTCCTCTATCTCCAGTGATCGAGCTAAGCGTTCCTGTCTCTCTACTAACCGAGAAAGTAAGTTATAGTCACGATTGAAAGAAATCGTAGTAACTGCGCCAGGGAAGATATCGAGGTGAGATGTGAGTGCCTTTTCGGGCATCCAATCATCGGGTATGGATTCGATGAGCACTGTGCACAAAGCCGAGTATGGTGAATGTTGCCGGGTTGAAACGTAAAATGCAAGCTCGTTCCAAATAACCCAGCAAACATGTACGATAAAAAGCAAGCCAAGGATGAGATGAGCCCAGTAACGATCTACCTGATTAAGGCCAACATTCGACCACCCCAACGTATCAAGGCCACTCACTCCAAGAACAGAAGTCTTCCCTTTGGTGTAGTTCAAAGGAATAAGAATGGGTGGTATAAGCATCGAAGCTGGAATAAATATAAGAGCTAGTGATCGTAGGTATCGGCGGAAGAAGTATCTATCGAGATGCTCGTGGCGGTAGTCAAATCGAACAAAATTGGTTGCAATGTATCTTTTCCAGTTTTCGAAAGTATTATCTTCATGATTTGGAACAATAATGCTTTAATCGTTAGCTGTAAATCTAATAAATTGCTTTGAACTTACTAGAAATTGGGGAATCGCTTGCGGATGATGAGAAAGAAAAGAACTTCTAGTGTGAATATAATCGCAGAAAAGGAGACGGATGCAATGAACGAGCCCAACGAGATACCCTGGAGCTGCTGAGCTTTGGCGAACGATTTTCCAAAAGTATTATCCATTGCTTTAGCGGGGAGCTTAAACATGAACTGGATGGGTTCTGAGCGGCAAAGACTCCTCGAATTAATCTCTTTAACGACCTGCTCTAGAAAAGGACTAGCGTAACAAGCAGGAGCACTTCGAAGTGTCGTGCTTGTTACGCTAGACTAGAAAGGGCTGCTCTACATGGTCACTATAGTTTGAGGGGCGAACATTTGTCTCTGAACGACATGCCCTGGAAAAGGACTAGCGTAACAAACAGGAGCTCTTCAAAGTGTCGTGCTTGTTACGCTAGACTAGAAAGGGCTTCTCTTCGTAGCTACCATAGCTTGAGCAGCAGAAATTTGTCTGAACCGCTGTCTCCGAACAACATAACCTAGAAAAGGACTAGCGTAACAAGCACGGCACTTCGAAGAGCTCCTGCTTGTTACGCTAGTCCTTTTCCAGAGCATGTCGTTTAGAGACAAATGTTCGCCCCTCAAACTATGGTGGCTACGAAGAGAAGCTCTTTCTAGTCTAGCGTAACAAGCACGACACTTCGAAGTGCTCCTGCTTGTTACGCTAAACCAAAATTGGTAGTTTACAGAAAAAGCCGGCGTTATTAGCCTACAAGTAGACCCATCCGTTCCGGCCGGACTAGCGCGACGGAAGACAGGCAGCGCCGGAAGATGGGGAATTGCTCTGGGCCTGGAAGCCTTTCTGATGAAGTATGTTTAATTGCAGAATACCTCCTGCTGACCCCGTGCGTAATTCGCCTATTCAATTCGCTGACATGATGGCGCCAAACCGTTCTCTATCTTCAGCCCTAGCCTTGATCAAGGTTTGTAAATTCTAACAAAAATGTGCCGTGGCTGATATATCTAATAAGATAAAGCGTTTTGCAGACAATTGGTTGCAAATCGGCGATGCAATCGACTACGATGAGCTTGTAGCCCTGGTGGATGCGCTCGACTACTTGAAAAAGGACGCTCAGGAGAAAATGACCATCAGGAGAGCTAGCCAAGTGAGCATGCAAACACATTTACGGCCTGCATGCGTGGGGAGTGCTAATCAAGGGGTGCGACGGTCTTCTCGCCGCCTCGCATCCGCTCCTCAATATGCTTCAACAGGCTCGCTGTTTGTCTCTGAAGTTGAAACGGAGTCTGAGTCTAGTAGTCAAAACGATGGGATACAGTCACCAATGCTCCGCGAAGAAAATCATGATGAAAATGAAACGAGGAATGCTGCAGCAGAGATTCGAATAAATCACCCAACCTTGTTACACGTCGACAACGATAGCCAAGCGGACAAAATCCTTCCTGAGAGGAATTTTGGGGACACAATATCGCAACTGAGGCACCCTATAGAGCAAGAACAATTTTCTCCTGCGCCCTGTACAGCAAGGCTGGTTAGTAACGAGCAGGATGAGTGTACAGATGTACAGCCAATGCAGGACCTCAATGAAGCCCCAAACGTCCAAGTTTATCAGGAAACTAGTGCTACTGCTCTATACCAATCATCGGAGGACTCAGAAGATGTTGAAAATCAGCAGTTTCCTGAGCTTTCACATTCTAGTTTGGTTCATCAGCCACAACTAGGCTTAATGAATCAGGATATCTCAGATTCACTTTTTGGTGGAGAAGAGTTTGGAGAGGGTATTTTCAATAATCTACCTTCACCTCAGTATTTCAATGAAGCATTTGAAGACTTGTATTCTACCTCTATACATGACGAGGTGCAGAGAGATGTCGAAGATACCGCCACATACCCTGACGAACAGTATCCGACCAACCGAAGTGACATTGAAGATTTTGACGATGATCCGACAGTTCAAGGCTATTTGGATATCGCTTTTCGCTCGGGCTTTCGGCTTCCGCACGAAACTGCAGAAGATGCAGATTGCGTTGATGCTCAGGAGGTCCTATTACCCTTACTGAAGGAGAGGCCCCCTACGTCAAGACTCCTCCATGGTATATTGTATACCTTACTGCCCGGTCCCATTCTCATTATTGATTTTTGTTCTGGTTCATTCGATTCAGAGGCGGTAGAAGGAAGTACAAATACTGATTTTGTAGCAATCGTACGCCGAAGTGAAGACTCTTCGCCTCTGCTTGTAGTAGGGCTAGAGACGAGCAAAACGTTCTTCATTCTTGATAGCGAAACGTGGGATCTACCATCTCTTGGGATTCCGTGGCTAATACGCCCTGAATGGAAGACGGAATACACTGATGTAGGCCAGTCACCCACTCGACTCCTGAAACTAACTGACCTTCTTCAGCCACGAAGCATTGAGCCGCACATGGAAAGTACACTACTATCGGTTTGGATAGCAGAAGCCTACTTTCAGCACCGGCCCCTCCAGCATGTCCCATCATCTCGTGACTTACGCCTACATATTCTAGAAGAGTTGTTAGCGCCCTATCAACGCGATTATGTCCTCGAAAAATGTGGCATCCCTAGTAAACTCGCAGGGCTTGAACAGACTGATACCCAATGGAAGCTGGTCCGCTTGGAGACACAATTACAAACTAGCGAGGTTTTCGTACCAAATCTAGAAAATTTCGAGCTTGAAGCGTTACGGGAATCACTCCTCCGGAAGCCTTCCGAGATAAATCGCGGGCGTTGTCTACGCATTTTGCAATGTGTGAACGAGATCGGATCTCCTCACATTCTTGAATCACTCAAACTGGCTTGTACTAGGAAAGAGGAAAGCCAAACTTATTCAGCAATAGAGCAACCCATCTTCGAGAAACTATTCCACATCCATCTCTACTTGGACAGGCAAGAAAGCCAAAGTCATATTCTGGTGGCTAGAAATCGATATATCAAGTATTGCTATTTTGAGACATATCTGCGTGCTGTGAAAGCACTGCAGGAGGAGAAGCGCAATAGTACACAAGAGAGGCGACGAGTCTCAGCTCGAAAACGGACTACTAGCTTCAAGCAGGGTATCTCTGAGATACTGCCCCCTACTCCACATACTGAAGAAATACATCGAGTTTACGAAAATCTCAGTCCTTCACAAAGAAAGAGACGTGCTCCGGATATGGTCAAAGATGAGATTTCAAAGAAAGTTGTAAATCAATATGGCGGGAATGAAAAGAGAATTCGACGTAATATAAACAGATACATCAAGGACGGGAGAGTACTACACCATATTCTGCGAGGGGGGAGATCATTAGACCCAGCTTTGCTTATTCTGTTCCCAAGTTTTGGGTCCGATTTACCTTCTTTGAGCATGGCTCAGTTTGGATTGGAGCTTGAGGAGCTTGAGGAGAAGGCTCTCAGTAAACCTATTCAACTGAAAGAGTAAGATACGATTCTATATGTAATCAGAACTCTACTGATATTATTGAGCAGTATAGATGAATTGACGCTAGTGGAGGCAGCTTGGTTTGGCGAGGTGTTGCAGGCTAGGCCGGAGCTGTTAGAACCGGTACCGAAGGCTGCCGTTGATCTAATCTCGAATACCCTGACCTACGATCTTGATGTCCAAGGGCGCGATCCAGATAGCTTTCGGGGTAGACCACTCCAATTTTTCATGTAGTAGAATGTGATTTCGTACGCATTCAGAGTAGCGTGCCGTCTTTCCGAGTACAATAACGCTTATTTAATGTAACGAATGCTTAGTTTTCGGATTTATATAACTATCTCATCCCTCAATCTAACACGACTTCTTGCCTACTCAACAGAGCCGTCTCTTGCATTTTTTTCGCTACTAGATTACTATCTAAAAGGAGAAATGAAGACTGAACCCGGGAGCAATGCAACCAACGAAGACGTATGGCCTTGTTTAGGCGCTATCAGTATCGACCGCCTGAATATGCTTGTATTTTGGGAAAGTTCATGGCTTTCAACACGTGAGTACCATGCACTTCGTTAAGATGGATATCATGGGTGGCTTGTCCACGCTCGAGGCGAAGACGAGCTACTTATCTCCTGGGAGCCTACGATGGAAAGGAAGTCAATTCAAACCTCGCCTTAAGATTTACTTTATGAATTCTCTATAGAGGTTCGAAAAGATCGACCTGGTTTGCTTGGATATGTGGCGGCTAATGCTTTACCCCCTTCTTCAACCGCGCGTAGCCGTCTTCCAGCATTTCTAGCCTACTGGAAAGTCGCCCGAATGACTAAAGGTCTTTTCTATTATCTACAGCAGACTTATTCCAGCCACTGGGGCTACATTGTCCACGAGGAGTCAGGCAAAGTTTGGATACAGTGGGAACCCACGTGGGTAGTTTTCGAAAACTTGAATGAAAGTAAGAAAGAGCAGCTCTTACAAATATCCCATGATCCTGAGGCCATATTACATCGCTTCTACAAGGCTATAGTTCAATACTCCATGCGCTTGGTGGTAGAAAGGCGGATTAGTAAGAGAACAATCAATTAAAAGCAGATATCTATGCTTGGTTGCTAAGCCCTTGTTTGTAAGTAAGTGCTGTAGATACTATTTTTAGGAAAGAAATAAAGAACATGTAGTTGTCTGGGAGCTTAAGACAGCAGATGGTTCTAAAAGTAAACAAAATCCATATCAAATGCCTCTCTGGATATCTACTCAATAGTTGAATTTACTGAGCCAAGCAAAATTCTACGCACAAATTCTCCAGTGACACCAAGCGGTGAGATATTATCAGGCAGTTCAATAGAGTTGCAAAAACCCCTGTTGCGGTTGCCGCGATAGCTCAACCTGCGCCAGACATTGCCAGCCCCGGTGTTGGGTAAGATGGCAAAGCAAATGCCATGAGAATCCATCTCCTGCGACTTCTTACTCTTTTTGTTTGTGTAGATAGTGTTTTGAACTTCGATGTTGGTCTCTAGAAGAAGACCAACATGAGTCCGTGGTACAGTGCCCTTTACGATGATAATGTCGATCTTAGAGCCAAGTCCACCTCTTGAGGACTCTTTAGTATCTGTGAATGCCTGGAGTGCAACATTTGTCAAACCAATACCCGTGCCGGCATCGTAAGATGTCCTCATCAAGCTTTCGTAGTTATGGACTGCAAAATCAAGGGGAACAGGTTCCATATACCGTGGAAGAAGGTCTCTTGCTTTTTGGCTTATTCTTTCCTTCAAAGCCTCATGAGACGATTCTTCCACCAGAGTGTAATCGCTATAAGCTTCTTCAATGGTCTTGGTCATCTCTTCTGTAGCGCTTCTTCTATTCTTGCCTGTATGAAGCTCTTGTGAGTGCGTGTTGTCGTCTTGAAAGAAAATCTTGTCTTCAGTCTGTGTTAGATTGAAGCGATAGCCTTCGCGCGTTTTCTGGAAAGCACTCTGCCAGTTGGAATTCTCAAGATACAAGCTGCCGGTTTGCGCTAGATACTCAGTCCACAGTTGGACCCCTTGATGGAGAGTCTCAATCCTCGCTAGTTTGAGAAGAGCTTCGGTATCTCCAGCCGGGTAACGTAGTGGCCTATTTGGAAAGATCACAGTGACACCTCTTGGTTTGATGCGGTCGAAGACGAACTTCAACACAACTAAGAGATCGAATTGTAATTTCCAGTGATCGGGAAGATCTTCATGCAAGAAAACTCGAAAGGATCTTTCCACCACTTCAGCCTGGAATTGCCCATCATTTATCAATTTCCTTATAGATTCCTTGGTCTTCTCCTGACCTGTCACTGGAAACTGGATGCGGAGTGGCATATGGCCAGTACGGTCATCTTTTTTGGAAAGCGGTTTAGAGCTAGCGTGTCCCATCTTTAGAAAAAAAGACTAAAAGAAGAGTGATTGATTGTAAGAAGCGTTCTATTATGATCTTTATGGTCTTTTGCTAGGATGTAGCACATATGAAGTACTTATTACCTACCGCTATAAAGTCACTTATATTACTAAACTTTCTATGCCGCCTCTAAACTTGCGCTAAGTGCCACGTGCATAACTGAGAGCATGGTATATTATTATTATTATTATTATTCCATTATAGTCTAGTGAGCCCAGGGCTATGTAAGACTTTGGCCGAAGCCGTTCTATCTAGTATTTATTTACAATTTGTTCGTTTTAGGTTTGAAGAGTGTCTGTGGTGCTTCGGCCAATGTCTAGGTAGGCAATAGCTATTGCTTCCTAGACGCCTTTTGCTAAAGAGCAGTTTGGTAAACAGGGAGAGATGTAGAGCAGCTAGGCTGCTTTCCAGCGGGCTCTCTTAGGGGAAAGGAGAAAAGTAAGTTCTTTTTA